TGTGCCATATTCGGTAAAAAATTACAGTATACTGTAAAAAAATCTTAGTGTGTGCATCACTGCTAGTTCCTGAAAGTCTCCCATGTCATTTCTGATGTGATCCACGATATATTGACGTCCACATTTTTAGTGTGATGATCTTGAGTTCCTAGTTGCGACTTATAAAACCGTAACACGAGCATTATTCCATTTTCGTATCGCATGTGCTTCTTTTTGCGGCTCTCCTTATACTTTTACTTTGTCGACTCCATGGTACCGGAAAAGATATAGATATATACATTATTAGCAAAGATGTGATACAACCACTATGGGATGGGCGTTCAGAATGGTTCAACTTGACGACGCATACCGTGTCGTGATGGCGAAGGTCAGAGGTCCAACGATGCCCGCTTAAGATGCCCAAAGAAGCTGAAAGTCATCGTGGAATGACTTTTCTCGAAGCACGACACAACGACCTACACCAAATGGAGAGGGAGAGGGACATAACGTCGAAGCCACCAACGAGGAGCTCAGGAAAATCACCGGGGGATCCAGCATCGCATAGGCCTATATGCCTGCTGGATACACTCGGAAAACGCTTGGAAAGCATAATTCTAAACAGGCTGACGAAATGCACAGAGAGTGAGCACGGATTGTCGCAGAGGCAGTTAGGGAGCAACGGTAGATGCAATTCGGACAGTGGTTGAAAGAGCCGAGAATGAATGCCTGAACAACTGTGGCGAGGAGATCGATATTGCGCCGTGAAAACGATCGACTTCAAGAATGCGTTCAACAGCGCCAGCCGGGAGGCCATCGCACTGTGGTCCAAAACGGCAAAAAGTGGAACTTTATTCCTAGAGCCTAGCCTTTACATTTTAGTCATATAGTGTCTTCGGAAAAAATGTTTGTATAAATATCTTACATAATATAAAACTGTCAAAAATTAGTCATGTCTTACTATGCAAAAAATAAAAACACTAACTTTTTTCTTTGAGGATATAGGGGAACGATGTCTTCAGCAAAGTTGTAGACAATGTAAAAACAAGCAACTTCATTCAATACGTCAAAATTCTAAATCCTATATTTTCAGAGTTATGGAGCTTTTTCTATGGAAGTTCCCTTAAACTTAGTTTTTCATACTTAACTTCTTTAAATTTCATTTTTCAAGTATATAATGTTCTAGACAATTATTCAAACAATCAAAACACACGTTTTTGCTCAAGATCATGAATCATTACAATTACTCCTTGTAAAGTTATAACAACTTTTATCTTTATTTTTCCATTACTTCATAAGCTTTTAGGAGAGAATGGGGCAAGTGAGGACACAAAACCAACCTTTTTTCTTGAAGCTTAGCTCAAGTACTATAAAGTTGAGAAGGTTTCATTTGTCGCTCCCTTCCCAAATTTGAGTACAATAACCTTATTATTTATGGTTTTTCATATATTTTTCACTTTCTTTTTTAGGTTTTTTATACATAATTTTTTAATCTTTAATATTTGAAGTATATAATGTTCTAAATAATCTTAAAACAGTAAAAACACATGTATTTGTAGAAGACCGTTAGTCTCTACAGTAATGCATTGCAAAGTTATAGCTTATTTTAACTTTATTTTGCTTTATTTTTTTGTTTATATGGGAGAATGTGGCAATGGGAACACAACATCATCTAGCCTTCTTGAAGCCCAAGTACCAAAAAGCTATGCAGATTCAACTTCACCCTCCCCTCCTCCTATTTGAGCGTGACAACTTTACGCTATTACATATTTTCTTGTATTTATAGAAAACTTAATATATTGAACATTCGCTGCAATAAAATTATAGCTCAAAAATAATACACCATGTATTATTTTTGAGCTATACGCGAATAGCATAACAGTTTGTGTGATTTCACTGCCTGCTGGCAGTGTTGCTGATATTTAGGTGTATGTGTCGTGAGCATTTGGACAAAGAAAGAAACTGAATATGTTATTCGCGTAAGTACATGGTGTATTATTTTTGAGCTTTAATTTTATTGCAGCGAATGTTCAATATATTAAGTTTTCTATAAAAACAAGAAAATATGTAACAGCGTAAACTTGTCATACTCAAATAGGAGGAGGGGAGGGTGAAATTGAATCTGCATAGCTTTTTGGTACTTGGGCTTCAAGAAGGCTAGATGATGTTGTGTTCCCATTGCCACATTCTCCCATATAAACAAAAAAATAAAGCAAAATAAAGTTAAAATAAGCTATAACTTTGCAATGCATTACTGTAGAGACTAACGGTCTTGTACAAATACATGTGTTTTTACTGTTTTAAGATTATTTAGAACATTATATACTTCAAATTTTAAAGATTAAAAAATTATGTATAAAAAACCTAAAAAAGAAAGTGAAAAATATATGAAAAACTATAAATAATAAGGTTATTGTACTCAAATTTGGGAAGGGAGCGACAAATGAAACCTTCTCAACTTTATAGTACTTGAGCTAAGCTTCAAGAAAAAAAAGTTGGTTTTGTGTCCTCACTTGCCCCATTCTCTCCTAAAAGCTTATGAAGTAATGGAAAAATAAAGATAAAAGTTGTTATAGCTTTACAAGGAGTAATTGTAATGATTCATGATCTTTAGCAAAAACGTGTGTTTTGATTGTTTGAATAATTGTCTAGAACATTGTATACTTGAAAAATGAAATTTAAAGAAGTTAAGTATGAAAAACTAAGTTTAAGGGAACTTCCATAGAAAAAGCTCCATAACTCTGAAAATATAGGATTTAGAATTTTGATGCATTGAATGAAGTTGCTTGTTTTTACATTGTCTACAACTTTGCTGAAGACATCGTTCCCCTATATCCTCAAAGAAAAAAGTTAGTGTTTTTATTTTTTGCATAGTAAGACATGACTAATTTTTGACAGTTTTATATTATGTAAGATTTTTAAACAAACATTTTTTCCGAAGACACTATATGGCTAAAATGTAAAGGCTAGGCTCTAGGAATAAAGTTCCACTTTTTGCCGTTTTGGACCACAGTGCATCGCCGAAGCGCTGCATAGAACGAGAGTCCCTGACTACGTGTGCAGAATTCTAAGGAGTTACTTCCAGAACCTGGTTCTGGTCTAAGAGACAGATATGGGACAGGTATCGATTACGATCACGGTAATAGTTCTACAAGGATCCATCCTTGATCCAACGCTCTGGAACGGGATGTACAACGGCGTGCTCAAAGGAGATGAGATCGTTGGCCTTGCAGACGACCTCGCCTTGACGCAATGAGCTGGACTACCGAGGTGAAGCAGTCGGTTAAGTTGTGTGAGTAAAACCCCTGTAAGATACATGCAATTAGTGACGTCACTAATTGCGTTTACGTTGATTTTTTGGATTACTAATACAACCATATTTCACGATCTGCTTCACCTTTTTCTGTACCTCATTGGTCTTGACGGTAACCAGGCGAGATCTTAGAGATGAACTAGCCTAAGGCTAAAAATCTCTTAAATAAAGAATTAAAAAAAAAAAAACCAGGCGAGACGCTGTAAAGGACCAATGACGTTTATATAAGGTCTGGGCACAAGGGCTTATTGTTGTTAGTGAAATGTGCAAATGGTTAGTGGTGTTCGTATTATATTGCAATGTTTATCTTTTAACACGAAACAGCTGTTGGCAGTGACGTATGTCTATCTGTTCGCAGATGTTCAGTAATGTTTACAACATTTTTGCTTCTAACACCAGCAAGCTGCCTGTTGGCCCAGACCTTATATAAATGTCATTGGTAAAGGACCACGCACATTAGTGATGAATGATGGAATTAATTTAATTACAGCCGTTGCCTGCGTTGGAGTTAAAGGTTATTGCGTGCCCCTAGGGTTAATCTTGTATTTGAAATCATTTGAAGGTTTAAAAAATTTGAAAAAAACAGCTTCCCGTTTATGTCAGCCAAAAATTTCAGATAGGGTTGACAAAATCGAAAAGGAACTGTATCATCTTTAGTTCTCCTGAAAAATTTCTTGAAATGCTTCTCAAAATTAATTCTAGTTAAATTACTTAAGAAGTGTCCTCAGAAGTCCTAAAGAGAGTGTATTGTAGAAAACTAATTCTCATCAATACTCATTTGGCATTCTCATCAAAATTTTCCACACAATTCTTAAATATTTCAAGACCCAAAATGATTAACTTAGTTTTTTTTTTAATTCTTTAATTAAGAGATTTTTAGCCGGAAGCTAGTTCATCTCTGATTACCTTAGTTCAACATTTACGTTTTTTTCGTCTGAGATCTTGCAAATAACGCCATATTTAAAACGAAGTCTGAAATTTTTGAAAGTTCACACATCACTGGCCTTCAGATTTCTATCAATCTATCACTTTATAACATTCGGTTCAAGGACCCACTGGGCCCAGTAGAGTTTGGCCTAGTGCCTTTCAAAAAATTTACGTATAACTGAAACTTTTAAAAATGTTTAAAATTTTAGACTTTAAAAAATTAGCTAACTTATGAAATATAATTTTGCAATACGTCGTTATCTTGAAGCTTGACAAGTTTCAAAATTTAGATTTTTTTCAATTGGTAGGATTTTCCGGACTGTGTTTGAATTTCTGAGCTATCCTATAAATCTAGATAGAGCTGGAATAAGGGCGTAACAGCTTTTGTAAACAATGACTTCTCTCGGTGATTTCTCGAAAGTGATGTCTCTCGCTGGCCTCTGTATAAGCAAAGACATCATATCAAGAAGACTGGCAACTTTGCCAGAATCCAAGCGACAGATACAATGGCGCTGCGCTTGAGTGAAGGTGGAAGCAACGCATAGAAAAATGAGCAAATACACAAACCTTTCTTCCGAGGATGTAATCTTTACTATCAAATTCGTTCGAAGCATTTACCTTTGAGCGGCAGATGACGCGATTGTACCAGTCTCATAGCGTTCGTATGAGAAAATGGAAGAGTTGCCAGTCTTCTTGATTTGTTGTCTTCGGTATAAGGCTATCTTGATGACCTTTTTTTTGTCGATAATTATTATAACACCTTCGTTGTAATTTTTTTTTCCAGTGACACCAAAATGTCAGAACCGGATAATGAAGACGGATTCTGTAAGGACAATCCGATCCCGACCGTAGGCCCTCCCGAGGAAAACGAACCTTCAAACATGAGCGTGGAGGACGAAACGGTGTCCTCTCCGCCGGTGGTGAAAAAACAGAGCGATGGCAAGGATGTTCCGATAGAAGGCTCACCGGCCGAAGCTGAGGCCAATGCCACAAACGCAGAAGATGGGAATGTAGCCGCTTCCGTAGGAGGTGCAGTTGAAGATGCTAGTGCTGCTGCTGCTCCTGCTGCAGCTGCAGCTGACGGCGATGTAGATCCGGAAGTTCCAGCTGCAGGTGCGCTGGCCGCAGAGCGACGTAATCGGCCAAATAGGCCGAGGAATCGTTTCCGCGGTCGCAATTATCGGCTACGATCGAATTCGTCCGGCTCGGAGCGGGCCGCGCAGGATGATTCCAATGACGATCCCGATGTAGAGGCAATGATTAGACGTTTGGTTGATGAGATCAACCAGGAGGTAAGTGTGATGTTAACGTTTTGGTTTTGATTTTGGTTTAGGGGATTGAAATACTCTTATATTCGCATTGTACAATGTTTAGAACGCGAATGGCAGCCATGATGATGATGACAACAATGGTAACAATGATGATGATGATGCCGATGACGATGATGGTGATGACAATAGTGATACTTCTTCAGCAGATTCGGATGACTCGGATTCATCACCGGCGGTTTCCGCGGACGACGATGATGACGATGACAGCGACGACAGCGACAACGAAGGTGGTTCGGAAAACAATGCCAACGAGCAGATTGACGTGGAGAGTCTTCACTTTATGCAGACTGCCGGTGTAAAGTGAGTTATTTTTTAGGAAATCAACTGGACATGATTTAAATCAATCATTTTCTTGCACAGGAATAACTGGAACTACTTCCGTGACATTCAACTTCGCTCGCTGGGACTGTCGTTCCGTAACAAAGCCTCCCTGGGTGGGTTGGGTTATAAACCGTACCAGTTTCAATCGCGTGCCTATGGATCGAAGCACCTGGTGGAACGGCTGGAGATGTCGCATCGCCTGTGCAAACACGAGGGCTGTGTCAATAGTTTGAACTTCAACTCGGCCGGTACGCTGCTGGCTAGCGGATCCGATGATTTGAAGATCAACCTGTGGAACTGGCAGACGAACAAGCTGATGCAGTCGATCAGCAGTGGACACCGTGCGAACGTTTTCCAGACCAAGTTCGTTGATGCCTCCGGTTACCGCGGTGAAATAGAAATCATCTCAACGGGTAGGGACGGACAGGTAAGGTTATCCCGAGAAATAGATTGCAGCTTTCTAATTCGATTCTGGATAGGTCCGGCAAATCCGCGTTGGACCGGCAGGCGAAGTCAAGCGTACGGTATTGTTCAAGCAAAGTCAACCCATCCACAAGATTGCCATTCCGGCTCGGTGTCCCTTTGAGTTCCTGACAGCATGCGAGGATGGAGTGGTCAAAAGCTACGATCTGCGCGATAACGTGGCCAAGCGAGTAACAAATGCCAAAAAGCGATTATATAGCATCTCCACCCATCCACTGGACAACGAGTTTTGCGTTTCGGGTAACGACGAATCCGTCCGGGTGTACGATCGGCGAAACCCATCAAAACCGATGAAATATCACTATGCTGCCCACATGAAAACCGTGAGTTTGCGTTCGCTCACGTTTATAGGCAACCGTGAGTGCCGAGCTGGGAAAGTTTATTGTTTTGATTTTGTTATAGAAAAAAGAATACCTAACGGTAACATGTGCGGTTTACAACAGCACCGGAACGGAGATTTTGGCCAGCTATAGTGACGAAGATGTCTTCCTGTTCGACAACGTCAACCACGAGGATGGCAAATTCCTCCATCGATACAGTGGACACTGGTATTCATACGTTGTGCGTGTTGTTTGCCGGCTTGTTATTCCTAATAGGGCTTTTTCTCCCTCACAGCAACATGAAAACTATCAAGGGTGTCAACTTCTTCGGTCCGAATTCCGAGTTTGTAGTTAGCGGAAGCGACTGTGGAAACATCTTCTTCTGGGACAAGGAGTCCGAAATCATCGTCAATTGGCTGCATGGCGATGAATCCGGAGTTGTAAATTGCCTGGAACCGCATCCGGAGTTTCCGATTATGGCCACTTCGGGACTGGATGATGACGCCAAAATTTGGGTTCCACGTGGACCAGATGATGAGGTAATGATAGTGTTTGAGTTTTATTTCCGGAATGCTTTGTACTGAACAATTTTTGCCATGCATTTTACAGCACGAATCGCCCGTATTTTCCCGCGAAGGCTTGGAAAAGTGCGTTAGGCGAAATTTGCGGATCCGCCAGACCAGTCGTTGTGCGTCGTTCAGCGAGGATCGCATTCTGGATTTTCTCATGTTCAGCCGGCAGGGGATTGGTGGGCGTTTACGCCGCCACTTTTCCTCGGACAGCGAAGATCAAGCGGATGGCGATGGTAATGGCGGTGGTGCCGGCGGCGGTGGAAGACGTGGAGGGCGACGTGGAGCTAGAGGTGCTGGAGGTGGCGGCGCAGGTGGAGCCGGAGCCGCTGGCGACGGTGCGGAAGACGACGACGAGAACCGTATGATTCTGCGATGCAATCCGTCGTAGAATGTCGGAGCTATCGCTCGATTGGTCTGCGTGTGTGTGTGTGTGTGTGTTTGTGGCTGTGTGCGAATGATAAAAGGCAGCGGAGACACTGCGGAAAAAATGTGATTTTATCAAAAACCTTTTCAATACGGTTTTTGCAACTTGAATGCGGTCGTTTCAAGCATATAAGCGTAAGGGAAAATATGTACTGATGAAAGGGCACTCTTTTTTTATTGTAAGCTTTTGTTTGTTTTGAATAAAATTAAAAGATATATAAAATGAATGATTCAAGCTGTTCCGTTTTGTTTCCAGAAGAAGTTGTACATTTTCATAGGTACTTGGCGAATTCGCTTACTGTTTTATTATGTTTGAAGGGTAGGTACCTAGCTACTTGCATTACAAAAGGTTCGCTCACGTATTTCTTGTAAATGCAATTTTAGATGCGAAATAAAATAAATTTATTGCTGAAATAAGTTGGTGAAAGCCTTGCGTATGACACAAAAATTCCCTTTATAAGATCTACCTCAAAGAAGCGTTTTTCATTTTTCCCCCGTGTCGGGGACATTTACCAGTGTTTTGATCTATTGTGGTGTATCCTCTTTTACTATTTGCCATCCCAAGCATTCTATATTAAAAAGTAACGAAAAAGTCCCAAAAGAGCGATTCATCCCTGTCAACCACTATTTAGAGTGATCTTCATCATTGTTCATCAGCATTATCCCAATATGGAATTGCACTTCGAATGAAGTTTACAACTTTATTGTGTATACTGGTCCAAATTTCTCCAGGTACGGTGAGTCCTTTATCAAGAAATCTGCATCGTATATTAAATAGTACAGCGCAATCACACAATAAATGTTCTTTCGCTCTCCAAATTACAAAAGCGACAACTATCGTTGCCAAGCTTTCCAATTTGGGATGATGACCAGAAAGGATGTTAATACATTAATAATGATAAGGGCGTTGTTTTCCAGTTCAAATCTCCTCATAACGTTTATCATGTTTCGGAATTTCACAATCTAAACATATGTACAGGAATCCCTCGAATAGCACGATGGGTGATGCCGTTGGAGGTCTTCCATCCAGGGTTACTTCCATTCATCTCGCATCAAAAGCACTCCGCACACCAATTTTGGGTCATCTTTTTTGTCAGTGTGCCGCAAATATGCTGATTGTGCCGATCATAGAGCAAGCTGCGATTGTTTGTAAAATACCCATCCCGGCAACCCGGTATTTCTGACACCTTGAATGTTTTGGTTTGAAATCGCAAGGATAAATCGGATTGAGGATGACGCGGGAAGTAACGGGTGTGCGAAATTTCGATGTTTTGTGATCCATAGGGTAATAAAAGTCCTGTGTTTTAGTGTTTTATAATGCCCTCAAAGGCAGACCAGAAACCTAGCCTTTCGGCCGGAAAGAGTTGGAACCAGTGGGGAGTATTGTTGGATACCGACTATAGAGGGTAATAGACTTCTTTTTGTTGTGTTGTGTGAGCTGCGGCATTGTTTGAATTAAGGGTACTAATAAAGTCTGATTAACTGTCTCTTCCTCTTGAGTCCACTCTAGAACCTACATTTCGTATTTAGATCTATAAGTGAACTGCTGGTCTGAGTTTCTCTGGTATATTCAATTAGAAGATGTTCCTGAATATATAGTCAAACAGCACGTAATGTTCTGAGCAACTTCAATGACAGTTGTCCAGCAGTGCTTCCATTTTATTTACAACAATCTAATGCCTACGAGATTGTGCCGAAGGTATGCTGAAAATGTGCCGATGGATGTGCCCAAGTTGTGTAGAATATAATTCCGGCACAATGTGCTGACTGACTTACCCCTTGGTGTCACCCCATAAAAATCATGCCAATGGTTATTGTTCATATAACTGCCATTTTCCGTCTAATTTTCATTTTCTATAGGTCGTAGATGAAAACCTGGTGGACCAAGGGGTATTCAACTCTGCACACCTCAATCTGTACCGAGAACTTTATCAGTGCCATAAGCTGGGGCAAGCGTTGGGCCGAGTGTGCCGAAGTGTGGCAATCAAGCTGTCGATCTCAGTATCCCATGAGTTTGGCAACCCTGCAGTTATGACTTTTGAGATTGTTTGTTTACATTGTCAAGTTCTCATGGATCATTAAATGAGCTATATATCTGCGTATATTGCACAGTATATACGAGGGCAATCACTGTGCCTGTCCTGTTAAAAAGTAAAACGTGCATCAAATAACACGAATGTGAGTTTTTCTTTGCACAACATTCATTCCTCTTGCTTTAACGATGCCAAACAAGTGATAAGATTGGTAAGCGCGAGATCGTCGGTCACTGCTGGAACTGCCAGTATACGCTGACCGTTGCCAACGTTGCCAGCTCAACTCCTCCACGAGAAGGAAAAGGGTGAGTGATGGCAGAAGCTGTCCATCCAGGACAAGAAATATCTTAATCGTGCCTCATTCTGGTAGACGTTCGCCGAAACCTGTACTTATGACCCACATTATCATCATGGTACTCGGACAATGCTACAACCTAGAAATCAAGAAGGATTCGACCTAAAACTTCCACTGGCGATAGTAGAAGCAGCAATAGACCTTCAGTTGCTTCCTACTGTTAGCCTTAACTTTTGGGTACTGAATTTAGATGTTTGCTAAACATATTTTTGTGGGATAGTCAATCAACTGCGTCCATGGTTTTGAATTTTTGAACACCCTAATAAATAAAATGGAGACCCAGGAAATCACTTAGATTGTTCATTAACAACACAAAAACAAATATAGTGATGCTCTTCTTCTTTGTCATGGCTCTCAGATTTTTACTTTTAATCTGTTTATCCTAATCGTCCATCAAATAATTTCCAGCAGCATGCAAATCTTGGTCCAGGATCTAGATACCGGTTGCCAACGTTTGATTACTACCTTCTCTTTGTATTTGCTTGTTGTTCCTTCATAACTTTCATCCTAACTTGGTTTTGCCGGAATTGCATACTTATCCCCTGCTGGCGGCTCCGATCGCGTTTATAAATACCGCGATTGAGATTGACCAGGATCCGTTACCTCCGGTGTGGTTACCTTCACAATTCTGTTAGCAGCATCCTTCCTACACACTTAGAAATTATAGCCGACTTCGGTAATTTTTACCGAAATCTGAACAGCTGAACTTTTCGGTAAAATGTATGCAATTTAATTCAATTGCTTTTCAGTTACTTTGAAACTACACAAAAATGACAAGATTTGATCGTTTAAACAAGGTTGAACATGCTTTGAAATTATTTTTTTAATTCAATGGACTTTAAAATGAAGGTCTAAGTTTTACCGAACGTTCAGTTATTCTGATTTCGGTAAAATTTTACCGAAGACGAAAACAAAATCTTAGTGTGTAATGTTGCTAATACAAGATCTACTGATGTCACCAGCCACAGTCAATCGAATCTACGAGATCGTACAGTCCATAGAATGGAGTGGTTCTGCGGGAGAAACTGCTGCAGTTACAGTTGCATCTGCAGAATGGCGGGATCGTTCCATCGTTCTGTACCCGGTTGTTGTTGATACCGTACATCAATGCTGCAATTGGAACTGGATTCAATTATCCTTGTTATACAATTTTTTTCAGTCCGTACCCTATTGCCATCTGGGGTTAATACGTAAGCAGGCCTATTCTGACCCAAAACATAAATCCTTCCAATTGTGCAACCTTTTATTATGATTGAGGATACTCTCGCTGGAAAATTAAAAAAAATAATCTGAAAAAAAAACTTCCCCTTTACTTTGAAGAAATCAAACGTTTACTATGTTAGCAACGCTTGTCAAAATGTCAACTCAAAGCAGTGATGCCATTTTATATTATATTCTATCTTATACTTATCATGGAGTGCCCTAACGTGCCGTGTGCTACGATGTGTTTCGGCACAGTGCACAGTGGTTCCCCTTAGAACAAAAGTTGTCCAAAACCTCAAAATGGTTGCAAATAGGCATAAAACAGTTGAAATAGATGTTTTTTAGCTGTACAAAGAAACCTTGACAATCAAGACGTCACAAAAAGGAGTATAGTAGAGCCAGAACCAATGCACAATGGTCCCAAAGCCGTATTTAGGAAGACAAAAATGTTTGCGCCCAAACCGTCAGTTTAAGGTATATGGTTTCTTAGGTCGAGTCTTAGGTAAACTTGCTTCAATTTTTTTTTTCAATTCCTTGTTTTTTTCCGGGTTATTAAAGAAAAACTCTACCTTAAACAAAAAAGGCGTTCAAAAATAACCCTTTAGAGATAATGATAAAATTTTGTCTGCAGAATTCCTCTACAATATGCAGGGCTGGTAATGGGTATTTTATAAATAGTATCGACTACAATAACGAAAAAAATTACCAAATAGTGACTCTAAAACAATAAAAAAAGTGACCAATAGTGATATTTATTGATCGGAAAGATATTAAAGATATGGATCTAATCTGTCGTTGAATGCGATCCGCTTTGACAAATATTGTAAATTCCCAAACCACCATGAGCATTTTACAAGCTTTTTTGTCAATAAAAAAAATGGTTGAAGTATCTTATAAATTTGTTTTCGTAAAATCAGTATTAATTGGATAATGAATAGATTAATTTGTAACCTCCATTTCCTCACACAGTACTCATTTTTCTGCCACGATTTTTTGAAAACCAACCGTTGAATAAGTTGAATTTAGATTCAGACCGCGAATTGGTTGAATTTCGGGATGTGGATGCTTGAACATAGAAATTTATTGGGAAATCTTGAAATTGAAAAAAAAAATTGAGGCCCAGAGAAAAATGTTCAACGTCTTGGACAAATTTGTCAATTTTAAGACAAGCAATTTTAAAGATATCGAATATAGAAACTTCTGTAAAACTTCAAACATAGACAAATTTTCATATTTCTGGAACCTAGACAAGTGTTCTGGATCGTATCAATAATTATCATTATTCTGGAACGAGGAAAATTTTCTCGAAAAATCTCGATCTTCCAAAAAGTTGTATGATTCTGGCCTACATTTTAGAGATATTGGACATTTTTTTTAATGCTGGTACTTAGTAATTCGCGATGTTTAATTCAAACAAATTAAGAAAGTGTAGAATAATTTACGATATGTTAGAATGTAAGTTCACAGTCCGAGAAAAATTTAATGTTTCTAAAATATAGAAAAGATTTCATGAATTTATCTAAAATCTGGGATTGGAAATTTGTTGATTCCGGACTTGTATAAAATACAATTTGATGGGCTTGGAAAAGAACTTCTGAAAAAAGAAGATCCTACTACATGATTTTTTGATGTTTGC